GAGGCATTCCTTGCCAGGTCAAGGTCAGAGATGAAAGATACATGGAAAGACTATAGGCCCTGTGTTCTGGAAAGCTAAGCACAGGTGTGATGCACAGTTTAAGATACTGTGAGAAGGTCCTTGCCTAATCACCAAGGGTCAGAGGCAAACTCATGGTTTCCAACTTTTACATAAACCATACAGTAATCAAATTAAATTGTTAATAAAAAGAAAGCAAAAAATGATTTTATAAAGAAAAAATAAAAGATCCTTGCTGTCCTAGTTTGTTTCTCCATTGCTGTGACAAAACACCCTGACCACTACCAACTTGGGGAAAGGAGATGTCAAGGTGTAAGTAACTTGAAGGAGAAACTGGGTAAATTTTCCAAAAGGGCTTCTGTTCTGGTTTCATTGCTCATTGCTGTGACAAAACACCCTGACCACTACCAACTTGGGGAGGAAAGGGTTTATTTGTCTTACATCTCCAGGGTCACAATTCATCAGGGAGCCGAAGGTAGGAACTCAGGGCAGGAACCAGGAGGCAGGAGCTAGAGCACAGGCCATGGAGGAAGGCTGCTCACTGGCTTACTCCCTTGGCCCCTGCTGAACATGCTTTCTTACACAACAAAGGCCCACCTGCTCAGGAGTGGTACCACCCACAATGGGCTGGGCCCTCCCACATGACTCAGCAATCAAGAAGATGCCCCACAGACGTGGTCACAGGCCAGTCTAATGGAGGCAATTCCCCAACTGAGTCTCCCTCAACCCAGATGTGTCAAGTTGATACTAAGGCTACCCAGTATACTTACCAACAGTGGATTTGTGTCTCCTTAAGAGGCTTAAGACCTAAGCTGCAATGTCTGTGCATATGACATCATTAGAAGGTAGGGTCTTAGAAGATGTATCAAGTTTGAACTTAACACTGAATTAGAGTGATCTATAATCCAATATAGGTTTATAAGAGCAAGAGAAGAGACCAGAAAAGGAAGGCCAAGTGAAGGTAGAGGCACAGATCACAGTCCTGTTGCCACGAGCCAGGGAACCAGGAGGTGCGAGGATGGGTTGTCTAGAGGCTTTGGAAAGAGCACAGATGTGTCAGTCAGGTTTCCATCACTGTAACAAAATACCTGAGATAATCAGTTTATAGGGTAAAAAATATGTCAGGTAGAGAAAGGACAGAAAATCATAATGGAAGTATGTGGTAAGAAAACCATTTACCTTCTGATTGGAAAATGAAAAGGGACTGGGTTCCCATAGTCCCCTTGAAGCACATATTGTTATGACTATAACCTCCCACTAGGCCTCACCTCTTAAAGTTTCGATCATTTCCCAATATTGTCAAGCTAAGGATGGCCTTCTTTTCAAGGGGAGGGACATTCTAGATCCCACCTATAACAGTGGTTCAACCAACACTTCTATTCTATAAGAGAATAAATTTCTATCATTTTATGCTACCTAGTTTGTGTTGGTTTCTCCCAACAGGCCTAGAACCTCATACCATGTTAGTTTTTCATAAGGACCAACAAACAGGGGTCAATAAGAAAGAGTGGTCCAATGGGAATCAAGAAAACTTTCTGTGGCCTTCTTCAAAGGCTAGGCCTGGGAGCTTCAGCATTCATAAGAAAGAGTGGTCCAATGGGAATCAAGAAAACTTTCTGTGGCCTTCTTCTTCAAAGGCTAGGCCTGGGAGCTTCAGCATTGCTGTGCTTATCTGGAATTGAAATCTCAGACTCCACCTAAGGCCTGGACAGAGGAATTTCCCTAGAGATTACTAGAGCCCAAACTATGTATCTGGGAAATAACAGCAGCAATCTCACAAACTTGTTGAGTTCTTCCCGTTACGGGCTCTGATAGTGATGGTAAACACTGTTCTTAGTTAAGCCACCTACCACTATAAACCATGTACATTTGTTACTCTGACTTCACTGATGAGATGCAAAAATATTAAATAATTTCCTTTAGCTACACAAATAGAAAGACTTGAAGGGCGGTGATGGACTGCAGTGGTCTTCATTTGAAAGAATGTAGCTGATTTAGGAATCAAAAGGAATACTGGGGAGTCAGGCCCTTTTCTCCTATTAATACCTAGTAAGATTTTAAATAACTATTCTGATAGACAAGGTGTGTTGGAGGATCTAATTGCAGATGCCCATCTAAAACTGTCTTCCTTCCCTTCTATCTCAACATATCTCTCACATAGCTCTTAGCAATGCAACAGGGTAACCCTAGACCCTCTGCTTATAAGAGGAAGATTTTTCAATGGAGGGGTTGTTATTGAATTCTATAAAAGGTTGGAAAGCATGTCATTTAGGGCCCAGTTCTGTGACGACAACAAAAAGATGTGCTGTGATGTATACAGTCTTGCATCTTTGAATGTCTTCCAAAGGAAACTTCCTTCCTCTCCTTCTCTTGAATATACAGGAAATTCAGAGAGAAAGGAGGAAGTGGTGGCTTCCTCTAATGCCATTAACTCTATTACCAATGTAAATATATACAATTCTCTCCACTTCAGAAAAAGATAGTGAAGTGAAGCAAACAAAAAACCCCTTGCCCAAAGGAGTTGTTGACCAGGGAGTTCCCATAGACCCTTAAACAATACTGGCTATTTTCATTGTTCTTGGTTACCCTCCAATACTTGATGGTAATTCCCTATTTTTGAAGAACCTACATATGTGCATTGTAGAGAAAACATGAAGAAATCAAGTTAGTTTTGACTATGAAGCTTCATCTCTACTGCCTAGCTTTTACAGTGTTGGAAGGTGTCATGCATGCTTCTACATGTAAAGTAATCATCGATATTACCCAGCTGTGAAGCATGAGAGCTTCAATAATAACTGGCTTGTCAAGATATGTCCACTAGTACAATTGTGGCAGGAATGTTAGCAGAGGAATCAACCACTTTCAGATTGGATTTTAGGTTCCTTTCACAAAATGGAACCCATACCTGGCTCTGTTTTAAGGGCCAAAAACCTGTGGCTAGACTCCTAATGACTTATTGCTATACCTGTAGATTAGGACCTCTCTCAACTCTCATCAAGGAAGCTTCTTTTTGCAGCAGACAGTGGTCAACACAGAGACCCACAGCTGGTCAATGTTCAGAGAATAAGAAACATGGGGTATTTGGCCCTAATTGAGACATCTATATCATACCCATGCCCCAAAGGCTCAGTACGTATCTTGGAAGAGGAGACAGAAGTGCCAGAGCTGGAGGATGGGTACAATGGAACAGTCTTCCGATTATAACAGGGCAGTTACACGCTTGAACCAACAGTGGTTGTGTCAGTATGCATGAGACGTCTGCAAGCCCAAGCCAAAAAATATTTCCGCATGGAGGGAAGACTTGGGCATGAAACACAAGCCCTAGCTGAGGAACTACTGGCAATTGATAGCCGCTGGAAGGGGAAAGTTCGTTTTCTTTCAGGGTGTGACACCATGTAGCTTAACCAGACTCCAAGAGAAGGACGCAAACCCAGGAGTATTTGGAGAATACAAACTGGGATTGACAGGCCTTAAAAAAACGGAGGACATGAAGTGGGCAGGGGTGAGAAAGTGGTGGTGGATTCAAGAAGGAATAGGATATGGGGTCAAAGTCCGTCAAAATACATCATATGAAGTTCTTGAAGTATCAGTAAAAGTACTATTTTAAAAGAAAAAAAAGAAACTCATGAGAACTAAAATTTTGAGATAATATGCAGGTCTGTTGAGAGCAGGGTAAAGAACAGGTGGGGTTAATACTTTATGACATGAAGGAAGCAAGCCTGAAAAAGAAATGAAGCTGGCGAAGCCAAAAGAGCCTCAGGAAAACTTGGCCGGAGCTCTGATCAAAATGTACCAAAGGTTCACCCTAACTATTTGGTACTCCCTTCTCTGTTTGAAAACCAGTTTTAATTTGCATTTTTATTATTTGTGACCTCAAAACATCCACTTTGTAGAGAAAACTGACACGTTTTAAAAAATATTTTTATTGACCATTGGACACATAATACAATGTATTTTGATCATATTTAGATCCTCTCCTGCATCTCCACCCCATCTTGCTACCTACTCCCCCAACTTCATGTCCTCTTTTTTTCAGGCCTATCGAGTCTAATTTATAACTCCAATGTTCCTGACTCTCCCTGGAAGCTGTCAACTGCCTATAGTCCCTTGGCTGGGATTGGGACTACTTGCCCACCTCCCCAAAACCCCATGCTGGGATTTTTGCCTGACTTGAGCTTGCATAGGTCTCGTGCATGTTGGCACAATTACTGTGAGTCCATATTTATATATTTTCTTGTTAGGTGTTGATGTCATGAATGTATTAAGCCATCAATGTTCTAGGCCCATCAACCCATTCCCAAGACTTGTTGAATTGCCTGATTTGATAGCTGTTTCCAAATACAACTCAAAAAGTTTTTTCTAAAACCTTTTAGAGGCTAACTAAAGGCAATTTTTATGTATAATATATCAGTAAATGCAGAAAAATTTCAAACTTTAATGATAGTTTTAAAATTGATTTGACAAATTAGTGACTGGAAAGATTAGTTCTCCTCACTAATGAAGAAAAGTCTGCTTTACCTTTTATAAGCTTAAGCCTCAATATAATTAATGTGCATTGTCATTCTTAAAAGTGAGTAACAGGAGTAGGAAAAATGTTAAGAAGTTGAGAACAGGTGCAACTATGATCTTTAGAAATTTAGGAAATATTTTTAAATTAAGCTTTAAAAATATCCATTTTGAATGCATTTTTTTAAAATTTATTTTTAATATGACAGTGAAAATTTTACATAGCCCATATTGAATTTACATATTCAAATGAGCCTTTACCAATATAAAGAAGATTAACACATTGCTATAGTTTGGCATTTGACACTATGTCAAAAGAGTTAATTGCTCTATGTATTACAGAAGACTGATGCTCTATTTGGTTCCTTCTGAAAATTCGAACAGAAAAGCTTTACTAAACTCTTGACCTCTATGGTTACTCCAAATGTTTGGAGCTCAGTTCACATCTACAGAAACCTTAAAAAAATGATTCTGAATATGACAGGCAAAATACTTTATTGCAGGCAATTATTTAATCTGCATATTTGTTTCGATGCATAATAGGTCATGTGGGAACACACACCCACAATGCACTTGAGTTTTCAGGAACTAGCTTTCTTTTTTTTTTTTTTTTTTTTTTTTTCTTTTCCCTTTTTAGCACTGACATTGAAAGATATTTGCCAGAGTATAAAAATGAGGCTCCTTGGGAGTTATTTGTAGTTTCCAAGCTGAATGGCTGAGCTCACGTAGACACATCGGAAGGTGGTTGGCGGGATATCCCAGTACCGAAGTGGATTGCTGAAAAGACTCACACCAGAGTAAGAAGCCCTTTTCGTATTATATCGCCGTGGGCAGAAGTCATTTTCTCCAACCTCAGAGATGTTGTTGTTATGAAGGGAAACAACCTGTGACAAAACATGAAACAGTGGGGGTGATTACTCTCCCTATGTGTAAGTGTTCTTTTAAATATTTTGACCCTTGAGTTTGAATACATTAACACCTCTCAAACCAAGTTTATGACTTCTCCTTTCCTCTCAAAACTTTCCCTTCCTTAGTCGGACACATCTCAGTAAGTTGCATGTCTTTCTTGATTATTCAAATTGCTGTTTGTTCTTGCTCCTTTCTCCTTTGCTTTTCTAAAGTCAAATGTCTTCTTTTACTTCCCACAGCAATTCCATTTTTTTTAAACCTTGGTCCAAAACTAAGTTACTTTTTTAAGTTTTATTTATTGAATTATTTATTTTTACTTTAGGTGCATGAGTATTACACCTGTGTGTATGTAAGTGCACCTATCCTGTGCAGTTCCCACAGAAGCCAGAAGAGAGGTATTTAATCCCCTGGAATTGGAGTCATAGCTATGAGTGGTTGTTAGCTACCATATGGGTGCTAGGAATCAAATCTAGGTCTTTTGCTCTTAACCAATGAACCAGCTCTCCAGGTTCCCAAAAGTAAGTTTAAAAGAAGACTATTAACATCAGAGAGAGAGAAAGAGAGAGGGAGAGAAAACAAAACAAAACAAAACAAAAACCCAAAAAACAAAAACAAACAAAAAACAGAAACAAGTGAAAATTCATAACTTAGCTTTGGCATGGCATTCCAATAGCTTCCTTTCTCCTACAATTCCCAAGTTCTAACACTGGTATTCAAACCATACATCTCTGACATCCTTCTGTCATGAGGCCCTACTGTATCCTTTCACTATTCAAGCCATCTGTCTGGTCAGTTTGCACTTGAGGTACACAAAGTCCAGTGTGTTGTCACATGAAGGCTTCCTCCACCTGCAGTAGCTTCTCTCAGACATCTGTAAGTTTTGCTGCTTCGTGTTAGTATTTCTGCATAACAGCGATGCTTTCCCTGACTATCCCAATCTGCCACTCTCTGTTCAGTTAGGTTTCTTTATCCTTATTCATAGCAGTTATCACTCTGGAATATATTATATATTTGTTTGACTTTGTTTTTCTTTTCTGGAGTAAAAGCTTATGAGTCAGGAAACTGATCCATTCATTCACGGCTGTATCTCCAGTGCCTACTAGAACAGAGGAGATATTCAGTGTGTTGGATAATTAGCCCTTATCTCACATATTGGGTCTGTGTGGAATATTAATTTTTAGAGAAAAAAACAAAAATACTAAATGTCTTAATAAAAGTACATAGAAGAAAGTAGTATGTAATTAACAAGAGCAGCAAAAAGATATACACAGGTTGGAATTTAAATAAAGAATCAAAAACTTCAAAATATATTTAAGGGCCATGATATTTACATAGGCAGATCAAAAGGGGTTTTTGTTGTTGTTGTTGTTGTTTTTGTTCGTTTGTTTGTGAAGGTAGAATTTTCCTATGTAGCTCAAACTGTCCTCAAATTTTCAGTTCTCCTGCCTTAGCCTCCCTGTTACTTGGACTACAACTGATTTCACCACGAGTACGCAAAAGCTTCAACAAAAAATTTATTTTATCTTACAAATTCTCTTCTAAGAATTTTGAACCATAATTCATGAAAATATTTTATGATATGCATTTTGGTACCATGCTTATGATAACAGTAATTTTAAAATAAAAATTCTAAGTGTTACTAGATACTAGATTTATTTTGAAAAATAGAAGTCAGGCTTGCCTGGTGCTAAACACATACAATCTCAAGATTTAAGTGGTAGGGAGAAAGATTGTGTGTTTGAGGCCACCCTAGGCTGTGCAGTGAAACCTTGCTAAAAATAAAATAAAGTAAAATTAACACTTTAAAAATATCATTTTAAAATATTGACTTGAAATACTGTGCTACCTACTAGAAAATTCACATCTACACATTATTAAAAATTCCTTATTTATGAACTTGCTTAAAAGGGGAATAGTATATATTATAAAAACTGGAAATGTGTATAGCTAAAGCTAAAGCAATAGTCATAATTTTGTAGGACGCATAAATTTTGAAAATATTGTCATTACTCTATATTTTCTAGCAGTAATTACCAAGAAGAGGAAGAGTATGACTCAAACTGGAAGTGTGAGAAATCATAAATCATATATGAGTTTACATAAAAAGAAAAGTAGATTATGCATTCATTAGTTTGGAATTTTCTAATACCAAAGCCAGAAAAATATTACGAAAGAAAACTATAATCAAACACTTCTCACAAGCATAAAATTTTAAATATTGATAATTAGGAAATACTATTTCACAACATACAAATATTAGGAAATATTAGGAAACTTTATTTCACAACATACAAAAGTTCTGTGTGCTATTTCTAAGCATGCTTTATCTCAGGGATATAACACTGATTTACCATCTGAAAATGAATCAGTTTGACACACTGTATCAAAAACGGAATGCAATGGGCTTTAGAGGTGTGTCAGCAGTTAAGAGCACTTGCTGTTCTTCCAGAGGAACCAAGTTTGGTCCTAGCACTCACGTTAGGTAGTACAGAACTTCCTGTTACTCCAGTTCTAGGGAATCTGCTGTTATCTTTTGCCTCCAAGGGCACCACTCACATGTGGCATACATTCATACGGACACATACACATGCACATAAATAAAAATAAATCTTTAAAACATTTAAAATCAAATCCAAAATATGATTGTCTAAACAGAGAAGCGTTTTGCAAAACAAAAACAAAAAAAAACAAAAACCAAAACCAAAAACACTGTTCAGATTTTCAGATGAATTAAGAATAGCACTAATAAGTAGCATATACAAAATACCCAGAGATAACATCTTACTTAGTGGTAAATATTTGCATGCCCAATCTTAAGATAGGAAACAGAGGAAATATGTCCAGGTATAGCGCTTCTATTCCAAATTTCACTGATGATTCTACACAATTAAATAAGACAGGAGATGACCAACTAGAAATGTGTAAGGGGGCAACTGGAAGAAAGCAAATGCTCAAAATTGTGCTGAGATGGTGGCACCCCACAGGCAACTTTTTGCAGCTCTCAGGCCTCATCAGAGAAGCTCCTTTGGGCAGTAGATAGTGATTAACATAAAGACTCACAACAGGCCAAAGTACAGATAATAAATATCTGTGGAATATTGAGCCACATAGGACATCTGTATCATACCCCTTCTCTCACAGGCTCAGGACACATCACAGAAAAAGTCAGAAAGAGTAAGAGCCTGAGGTCAGGGAAGAAAGGAGTGAAACCATGTCTTTTGGACATGATGGGACTGTCTTACTCAGGAGTTCAAAGCAGTTGTGGCTGCCTATGCAGCTGTGGTTGCTTGTTCAGGACAAGGCAGTCAACTTTCCAGCTTGAAGGCCTTGTGTGGGGCGTGGCTCTCTAGAGCCCACACCTCCTGCTGAGTAGCTGTTGACAACTGATGGATGCTTGGGGGAGGAAGAGTCAGCTTTCTTTCTTTAAGGGTGTGGTCCAGGGTAGATTGACTGCACACGGCTCCAGTGGATGGTCTAACATCCATGTATATACAGCCATGATAAATTGGACTCCATGGGTTATAAAATAACAAAAAGAAGGACATAAGGTGGGAAGAGAGGCAGGTGATGGATCCAGCAGGTTTTAGGGGAAGAAATAAGGGGTGAATGTAGCTAAAACCCCTTATATGCCTGTATATAGTTCTTAAAGAAGTAATAAAATATATAAAATAATGAATGTTAATTCAAGAAATAATTAGAAGGAAAATAAAGTATGTAAAATATTTAGGACTGTGTCGGAAGAAGTAAACAAGGTATAGATATAAAAAATTAAAGAGAAAAAGAACCGAGCATGAAACTATCCAAATGTGTTGTGCAATTTTTTCTTGCATTCAAAAATTACAAAGTACCATGCTTCATCGTCTTTGTGATTCACAATGAGAAATGCTTAGAATGGAGCTTAGTATGGAAATACGTGAAACAAAATAAAATGACATGCCATTAAGATGATCTATTCTTTTCTACTGTACTTCATTCTTTAAATGTTGCTAATGAGCTTAGTAGACTGATGCCATCCACACTGTAATTAACTGATGTAGGGCAAACAGGGATAAAGAAGATGGAAGTGGGGACTAAAGGAGATAGAAATTTATTAACATCTTTTGATAGAAGAACAGAAGACAAACCTGTACTGAATCACTAACAAAATTTAGATAATATATTACATAAAGGGTGACTTTACCTATAGAAATCTGTCATAATATTGTTTCTGAATCAGAATGATCACATTTAACACCCACATGAATATAAATATTACCTTTAAAACCTGAAAAAGCGATTCAATAAGGATGCATGTAAGACCTATGATAAAAGGCCTTGATTTTTTTAAGTGACTTCGAATAACATTTTGTTTTCTCTGCTCAAAGTTACACTGGAAGTCTCACATTGTTATATGATTTTTATGTCCACTACTTAGCATGACATTCATTGGTAGATTTACAAAAACGACTGTCACCACAGTATACTGCTGATTCCTGTATTTCTATCTTTACTAAGCCGTGTAATTGGATAATTGATATAAAATTAACTCAGTACAGTCCTTTTCAGCTGTACAATATCTATTAGAGCTTCCAAACAAAACTACTGTTTAATTCTATGTCAAGGCATCACATTTTACATTGTTTTATTCAACACACATTTATCTGTTATACTGATCTATGACCTCACATTACTCTGCTTCGTAAGAAATATTTTTTTACCAGTAAGTATTGTGGTACATTCAGAAAGTATTCATCTTAAAACAAATTAATATTTGAACCTGTTTTCTACAAAGTAAGAATACTTGGTTAAAATTATTAAAAGTTCTTTTTTTTAGCAATAGACTGAATTCTATACCCTTCCAAATTCATGTTTCAAAACTTTCATCCCAGCAGTGTGTTATTGGGAGATGCAACTTTGGGAGTTGACCCGGTTGCAAATGGGATCATTGGACTTATAAGAGATTTTCTGTCCTCTGTGTGAGAACTAGATGATGATACATCAGAAATATGAGAGCTGATTGAGGCCCTTACCAGAACCGAACCATGCTGGACTCTGATCTCAAACTTTGTATCTCCAGAATTGTAGAAATAAATGTTTCTAAGGATCCTCCCCTCCCCAGTTCATTGGATTTTCTTATACCAGTCTAGAGAACTATGACACCACAAAACCCTCTTCTGAGCATCCTGCCTCCTAGCATATCACAAGGAGAGTTACTCTCTAGATGTTCCTCATAACAAGCAATGGCTTTGCATTACCTGGATGAATTTATGTTCTGCCAGCCCACCAGGTACTCTGATGAGTTTGTTGTTGTCCAAGTGGAGCTCTCTCAGGTGAGGAATGTTGGCCAGAGTGGCATTGTCCACAGTAGAGATGCTGTTGAAACTCAGCCCCAATCTGCAGTGAAAAGCAGAAATGAATGCACCTACCCATTTTGAGGGCTTTCTTACAGACAGTGTAGGAGATAGAATTGATAACCCTTTGATTTTCATATGCTGCTCCTCTTGCTTAAAGTGCCTTTCTTCCAACCTCTCTGAGTCTAGACAAAGATAGAATTGATAACCCTTTGATTTTCATATGCTGCTCCTCTTGCTTAAAGTTCCTTTCTTCCAACCTCTCTGAGTCTAGACAAAGCCTCTCCGTGTGTGTGTGTGTGTGTGTGTGTGTGTGTGTGTGTGTGTGTGTCTATGTGTGTGTATGTACGTGTTCATGTGCCATGTGCAGGTATGTGTGAGGGTGCATGAACACATGTTTGTGTATGGGCGCAGATTCTTAAACTGGCATCTTAGCTCTGAACATACTGGTTTTCCCCTAAGTCTTAGACATTTATCTTGTATTTCTTAGTTTTTCTTTTTCAGAACTGTATCTCCTATATTTGGGGACACTCCAAGCCCTAATCATTCACTTGGAACTGCCATATTTCTTAGAATATAGAACTCCTAATAATTTATTCAAGATAACTGTTCATTATTTAAAAACTTGTTTATATATTCAATCAACAACTGATTTTGAAAATACACATTCCTATATATCTGATTATTACTAGTGACGGTTAATTTCTGAGCTCCTTGGCATCTGAGCATGGATATAAAGTCATCAGGTAGATTTCAATGGTAATGTTTTTCACATCTACTAATTA